TGTGGTGATGTGTGGTATGTGTGTATGATAACAGTTTTTGATGGTCTTGGATCTAAGCAAATATATATATACTCAATTTTAATGTGAATAAAATCATATTTTACAGTTTTACTAAAAAAAAAAATTTCCCCTTTTCTCTCTCCCTCCCCCCCTCTTTGCCCACCCCCAACTTATGTGTAGACCAGTCTGCCTTCCATAGGTCTTTGGGCCTCTGCCCCCTAAGTAATGGAAGCAATGGTGTGTGCCACCACACTTGGCTGTAAAAGTTTTTAAATTTAACAATTTATTTGGAGCATTTTTCCCAAAGTTGAGACATATGGGTTGTATATTTTGACTAGTTTCTTTATTAAAAAACATAACTGATTTAAGTATTTTTAAACTTTATATTTTAGCTGAAGTTTCTCTTCATTTTATAGTTAGTGTATGGCATGCCCTGTAAATTATGGCACATCTTAATTTAGTACAAGTTGCCTTAGTGCTATTCTAATAACAGGATGATGAATCAGATGAGTTGAGAGTCATCATCATTTTTGTTTGTTTTTGGTCTCCTTATTATTCTCATTATCCAACAAAATTGTCAGCTTTGGCAGGAAGTATTTCAGGTGAGTAGAGGTCTCAGTGGATTAGCCACCTGCCCTCCTGATGTTTATATTCCAACAGAGAAACATATATAAGAATTTAAAAATTAAATAAGCACATAATTTCCAAAGAGTGGTACCTACTATAAAGAAAAATGAAAACTATGATTTTTTTGAACTCTAAAATGCTGGTGATGATTAGGCCTCTGTAAAATATGCATTATAAAATATTGTATGCATGCCTTCTGGGTAAGTGAAAAGAAGGCTACAGTCCTTCTCCTGGAAGATTCCCACATACTGGACATTATCTTAGCCAGATGATCTGGCTAGCAGAACCAAGCAACCTGCTTTGTGAGAACAAAACTTGTTATCAGGTAGAAATGTAGGCTATTCCCAGTGTCAGCACTTAAGCAAGAAGTGCTACTTGAGAGAAGAAGCTGCTTGAAGGACTTTCTGTGTAACTTTGTTTTTTTTCTTTCTCAGGCTAACCTCAAGGATCAGCTAAAAAAAATTAACATTAAAGGGAATAGAAGCCATCTCTTTTCTCCTCTAAGTGTCTTCTATGTCTTGAATTTATGTATACGTGTTCATGAGAGTGTATGTATGTTCGTTCGTGTGTGTGTGTGTGTGTGTGTGTGTGTGTGTGTGTGTGTTGTGTGTGTACAGATCCTCTACTGCTGCTGTGTTGGATTGCAAGATCAAACTCAGGGCATCAGGCCTGTGCACAAGCACCTCAGTGAGCTGAGCAATCTTTTTTACAATGAAATGTGTTCACCTGTGACTGGGGTGGTTGACTAGTTTTGTTTCTGGAATAAATAATAGAAAAATATTCTTTTCATGATCCCTTTATATAATGGTCTTTCTGAAATAGTTTTTGAAAATAACTGTCATTTTTCTGTCTGTTATCAGAATAGTAGTTTGTGTATTACGCTGTTGCTCATTTCCTCTGTGGCTCTTTGATGGCAGTAATGTACAGATACAGAGGAGGTACTTTATTCAAGGTTTTTTTTATTCAGTTTCCTTTTTTGTATGAGTTTTGACTTTCTTTGAAGGTTATTACTGGCTTGTGATCTGAAAATAGTAACAGTTTATCATTGCAACAGAAAAGAGAAAGGCACCTTCATTTTAGTCTTTGCCACAGAACGGAGAGCTAGTCTAGCAATGTATCAGAATGTTTCACATGACCTGATTACAGCTCTGCGGAGTTCCACAGAGAATGCTACATGCTCATGAAGGCAGTGTGCCTCTGTCCTTCAAGACCTCCTCCATTGTTACCCACCTCAGTTCAAAACCTAATGTAGTTAGGTCTCTCTATTATCCCTGAACTGTCTGAAATTTAAACTCTGTATGTTGTCAGAATTGCAAGAAAGGATCATTTCTATTATTTATTTATTTGTATTATTAGTGTCTGGATAACATTAATCTACAGAGTTGTCATTAAATTCGCTGTTTCCTCTCTACTTAGTTGATTGAACATAAAGGAAGTAAAATTATTACTAATCTAAAAAGGAACTTTTAAGAAATGTATACTTAATTTGAACTAATAAATAAAAAAAAAAGAAGAAATGTATAGTTGCCATCATTGGGAACACCTAACTCCATTGCTAAGGCAGGGTGGACTCCCTCGGGATGCATGGCTGAATGTGGAAAACACTTCAAAGAAGCTGTGTGATAGATTTTATGTAACTTGTGGAACAAATTCTATATTGTGTTTTTCAGGAGAAAGTGTTTTATAATTTGCTTAAGACATTTTTCTAATGATAATTAGGATTAACTTGGCAGTGTTCATTTAATGATATCCCCATTGTAACCCTGGGTTAAATTTCCACTTCTTTGTAGTTATTTTGTGTGATCACATGATCACAGCCATGGCTAGAGTGTACACAGATGAAGTAGTGTGTTTATGGCATGTGATATAAATTTGTTTCACCTCAGTCTGCAATGGGAAGAACTCGGCAGACTATGCATACTGCAGCTGTTAGGATCTCCTTAACATCTTAGTGACTTTTATTTTTAAAGTTTATCATTCTGTTGCTTTCAAATACTCCTTAGTATTTTATAGGATTACCTTAAAGTTTTGCTCCTTGTATATTTTATGTTGTTTCAATAATATTACATGTTTTCTTTTTGTATGTGTGTGTTGCTTTATTTGTTTCCTTTTTCAAGCGAGGTTTTCTCTGTGTAGCCCTGGCTGTCCCAGAACTGTATAGACCAGGCTGTCCCAGAATTGTGAAGAACAGGCTGGCCTCAAAGCCACTGAAATCTGACTGCCTTCACCATCCAAGTGCTGCTGGCATACGCCACCACCAGCTGACTCACACATTTTATTTTTAACTCTTTTGAATTTTTGAAAACTTGGGAAGATCATTTTAAATGAATGAGTGTTGTAACATGTACATATCCTATAACTCTGTTAATATGTATTTGAGCTATTTGCATTTATTCTCTTTTTCAAGTAACACTACGGATGACTGCTTTTGTTTACATTGGAATAGATTTCTACCATGGGTCAAAAGATGAATGTTCCAAAGGAAAGCTTGTGACACCAAGTTGTTATATGTAGTTTTATATATAAAATGAAGATTTTATTTTCATGTAGTGAATCAGAAGACCAGCTTTCTAAAACCTTACCACCATTAAGTGTTACCTTGTTTTTCTAACCTTGGCCAAGTTAGTAGGTAAAAATTTGTACCTTTTTGAATGTTTATGTTTTATAACGTTTTATCTATGGATTTTCAAATTTTTCTGTATGTTTAAAATAGTATACTTTTTTTTTATTAAATCTTGGTAGACTTTTATGTGGTGAGTTCTACCAGTCTTTCTGAAACTAACATATTCATTACCTTCTATGTGACTCTGCTAGAAGATAGCTAGAGATCAAGAAGTGAATCCTATCACCTCACAAATTACCTGTGTGAACAGTCCTACTCAGGTGTTATATAAGGACTAATGAAGTGATTATCATACTTTTATAAATCAAGAGATTAGCAATTACAATCAAGAAATTGTAAATACTTACAAATCAACTGTAGTAAGTGAGATAGATTGTATTCCCAGTGCTCTCTGACAGCTGATAGATGCTGCCTGAGGACATCCTCAGTAGTTTTTGTGTTTTGTGGATTGTTTTTTTTTCCCCTCCTAAACATTTGGGAAATCTTGCTTCTTTTTAAATGTGATCTGTAGTTCTCTGTTTACTACTAGAAGCTGGTTACTACTTAGTTGATTAGTTCCTGCAACTGTGTTTAAGTGAGCATGCATATACAAACACACTAACTCATACCTATCAGGTATCGACTAGATAAAACAATTACAATGATGATTATTACTTAACGGTTGTTTTTTATTTCTATAGCTTTTTATATATTACACATTACAATATTATATTGTATATTACCCAGGATTGTAGTTCTATAAAGTACAGTGGTCTCCCATCATATTCCCTTGATTTTGAGAATGATAAGGTCCTGAACCCCTGCAGCCACTTTCCGATTTAAAATGGACCCGTGCAAGGATACACTGAAACCCAAAACAGTTCTTCCACATCTGCTCAAACTGGAATGTTAACTGGTAGCCATCTGTACTTCTTTTAGAATATATAGCCAATTTAACAGTTGTTTCTTTTCTTTCCAAAGCCTTATGAAGGATTACGGCCTCAGGATCTTCGTAGATTAAAGGATATGCTTATTGTGGAGACTGCAGACATGCTCCAGGCCCCTCTGTTTACTGCTGAAGCCCTACTTCGAGCTCATGGTAATGAGAAATTCTTAATGCCTGTGATAACTTGGCACCTTTTCAAACTTCAGGGTTAAACATGGCTATTTCTGTGTTTTAATATGAAATGTTTTTCTTTAATGGGCCAACATAGTGTTTGTGCACATGTTGCTCTAATAATCATCATTATGTAGCACTTTACTTATGATGCATGAAGTGGCCAGAACCAAGAAGGAAATTAAATTTTTGTTTGTTTGTTTTGTTTGTTTGTTTGTTTGTTTGTTTGTTTTTCAAGACAGGGTTTCTCTGTGTAGCTCTGTAGACCAGGCTGGCCTCAAACTCCCAGAGATCCACCTGCCTCTGCCTCTGGGTGCTGGGATTAAAGGCATGTGCATTCTTTGATTGAGCTGCTGAGTTGTTTTTGTTGAAGTCATTCAAGTGTCAAATTGTATGGCTCAAGTATGTTATCAATTAATATTTATACAAAAGCTGTTTCTCACCATGAAATGTACAAAATGAAATTAAGATTTAAAAATGTTAATTATAACATTTTTATTTGTTTTTTATTTATTCACTTTGGTGGTATTTTTTCCCCTTAAAGATATCACCTAAGAAAATGTCCCCAAATTTGTTCTTTTATCACTGTCATTCTTAGCACAGTCACTTTGGAAGTTGTTGCATGCCGGGATATACTCGCCTGGCATACCTGATATTTGCTCATTTGTCTGACTTTAAAATAATTTTTAAAAAGAAAGTTATAAGGAGTCTTTCTCTCTCCTGCCAGTGAGCAAGCTCCCAAATAACATCACGGAGACTTACCAATTATGAAAGCACGGTCTCCACTTACACTTGTTTCTAACTAGCTCTTACAACTTAAATTAACCCATTTCTATTGGTCTCTGTGCTGCTGTGTGGCTCATGAATTTTACCTCTCCTTTTGCACATCCTGTTTCCTCTGTGTCCAGCTGACAACTCCACCTTTCTTCTTCCCAAAGTTCTCTCTCTGCCTGGAAGTCTGGCCTATACCTCCTGCCTAGCTGTTGGCCATTAAGCTTTTTATTACACCAGTCACAGCAATACACACAGTGTACAAATGTCCCACACCATTTCCCCCTTTTGTCTAAATAAAAGGGAATGTAATGAGTCTTTCTCTGTCCTGTCAGCCAGCTCCCAAATAACTAAACAGAGACATCTTATAAATTATGAAAGCTTGACCTTTAGCTTCGGCTTATCTCAACTAGCTCTTGAAATTTAAACCATTTATATTAATTCTGCCATGTGGCATCACTTCTCCTCCATCTTGCACCTCCTGTTTCCTCTCCGTGTCTGGCTGACAACTCTACCTTTCTTCTTCCGAGAGTTCTCTCTGTGCCCAGAAGTCCAGCCTGTGCCTCCTTCCTAGCTGTTGCCCATTAAGCTTTTTGTTACACCAATCACAATCACATCTTCACACAGTATGTAAATATCCCACAACAAAGGAGAAGTGCTAAATTTTTAACAAAAATTACATTTAAAAACAGAATAGTAAGTATCAGTCCTATTCCAGTTATTTTGAAGCTCCAATTGTCTAATTTTAAAATGTCTTTATTCTGAACACCTAAATAGAATGTTATTTCCTAAAATGTTCTTCATCTTTTGGTCATAATAATCCCAGCACTCAGGAGGCAGAGGCAGGCAGATCTCTGTGAGTTCAAGGCCAGCTTGTTCTACAAAGCCAAGAGTTCTAAGACATTCAGGGTTGTTACACAAAGGAATCCTATCTCAAAAACCAAACCAAAACAAACAACAAAAAAAAATTCAGACCTCAGTATTTTATCCTGGGTTGAGAACCACTATTACCAATTTGTTTGCTAAATCTCAGGAATCATGCCGTTCGTTAGTACTAGTGTTTTTATAATTCTATCATTGGTGTTTTTTTCCTTCTGAACCACGGTATTCTAGGTATATACCAATGGCTCCTAAATGTACTCTAAAAAGAATGGCCTGGGATATTAAACATAGATTCCAAGGCCAGCTCCAGAGTCCTGAGATGGGGGTCGAGCTTAGAAATACATTTAACAAGTCTGCTAAATGGACTGCTATAAAACCAATAATTTTCAAAATGACCTGAGTTATAATAGCTGCATGCCTACACTCTGACTGTAACCAGGTTTTCTAAACTGTATTTCCTAGTGTTTATCTGTTATTTTCTGTGTAACCTAACAGTGTCCTCAGTTAACTCCTCACTGATAGGTGAACACCAGCCTCATCTAATTACCCTGGCAGAAACTTGAATGTCGTTCTTTACTCCTCATTGTGTTATGTCTGGACCATTCCCTTCATTGCTATTCCTGAGTACCTCCTTGGCATCTACTCATCTTTGTTCTTTCATTCCAACAGATGACTTAAATTTAGACTTAAATTTTTCATCATTGTAGTACCCTGATCCTGATCTTCAGTTTTGTTGTTCTGGTTTCACCCAGTACATATTTCTTGTTGTTTAAAAATGCCAATCTGAGCCTGTCATTCCATGAATGAACACTCTGCCTTGGCTCCCCAGACTTTAAGCCCATCCAGTTTTTTTAAACCTGTGACACGGGTTTCTTCATCTGGGCTATTAGTCTCGCAGGTCTCTTACCATGTATCCCAATTTGTCCTTAAAAACCACCTCTTAGCATTTTTCTGTGCCTGTATGTTTTGGGACCCTTCCTGTTTCAATTTTATTCTACACACACACACACACACACACACACACACACACACACACACACACACACACACACACATCTTACACCAGTGGTTCTCAACTTTGCTAATGCTGCAAGCTTTTTCAATACATAGTTTCAGGTACTATGTTGGTATATCTGCATGTGGGTAGACCTTCCTGGAGATGGATAGGAAGCAGTGTCTCAGTTCCTAAAATACGTGTTTTCCAATGGTTTTAGGTTTATTTGTATTTTCTCTTTATTAACCTGGAAACTCTGTGTGTGTGTGTGTTTCTGCAATACCAAATGTATATTAATCTCAGAAGATAGTTGTGAAATGAATAAACATACTTGAAATTTTATTTTTTAAAAATCTATGTTTTTGCTTTAAATTGTTTCTTCATTATCATCTTTTAAATTCCAAAGTAAATCCTGGGTCAAAAAACTTAAATTTAGAAATTCATAATAGCCTTCTTGGACTGGAGACATAGCTCAATTTGTAGAGAGCTTGCTTAATGAGGCAGTTTAATAGGGGAATAGTCTCCTTTTAGCTAATGATAATGTCTAACATTCATAATATGAAAACTTGTACAGAATCATGGGAGTGAAAGGAACATTTAAAATCCTGTAACTTGGGATGATGAGTTCAAGACTAGCCTAGGTTACATAGGGAGACCCTGTCTCAAAATAACTAAACAAGCACCAACCAGAACAGAAATACAAAATGCCTTAAATTGTGTTACCATGTTTCTCAGGGGCCACCCTGACAAGGAGTGTCTGCCTCTTCATGGTGAGCTTTTTGTATGTATGCTTAGCAATCTCCTTACTGTAAGTTCCACGAAGAGAAGGATTGTGGGTGGTTTTCCTATCATTGTATATCTTCACTGCCTGACTTCAAAGACATTCAATAAATATTTGTGAGCGAGTGAGAGTGTGGGTTTCAGCACCAAAATGTGAGCTAGTGGGAGTGTTCTACAGCTCCGGGGCTGCAAAGGTGTTTTGATTTACTGGGAAGCCAGGCTACCTAGGACAGCTCTGGAGGCTGGAGCTGCAACAGGACACGGACAGCTCAGCCCTGGGGAAAAAGGTGTCCTGACTTAGCAGGAGTGCGATGGGAGACATCTCCCCACAGGATATAACTAACAATCCCACACCTTTCCGGAGAAAGCCGTTACAGCTGAGCTCTGTTACCCCTAAGGGAACGTCCTAACCGGTTGCTTATCCCGCCCAAGATGTCCTTCCTACTTCAGCTACAGTCTGCTAAAGGGGAGGCTCTGGTGAGAAGTTGTTACTTTTCTCTGCTACAGTCTTGCTCGGCCCCTAAGGGAAAGTCCTAGCAAGTTTCTTGGTTCTCAGTCTTGCTCAGTTCCCCCTAAGGGAATGTCTCAGCAAGTTCTTCTATTCTTTGCCAAAAGATGTATTTGGGAGGGAGGAGTCCAGGAGAGTAGCTGCCTCTGCCAGGACGGGAAAGGATAACCAGCACCTGACCAGGCAGAGGGGCTTATGTAGGGCTTCTCAGGGGCAGAGTTTTTCCAGGGAGAGGTTTTTCTGCCCAGGGATTGGTTGGCTCTGTGTTTCAGTTGGTCGGGGGCAGAGATGGTTCTGGTTTCAGGGCCAAACTGTTTCTTTCACTGGCCCTTTTTAGCCTTTTGGCTCTAATTTTAGGGTCAGGGTGTATTTCTTTCACTGTCTCTGACTCTAGGGACAAAGTCTGTTTCTTTGGCACTGGTTTCAGAGTCAGGGTTTTTTCTTTGGTTTTTAGTTCAGGGATAAAGTGTTTCCATCACTGTGGCTTCAGGTTTCAGATGTTTCTTTCACTAGCTCCGGGTTCAGAGTCAGGGTACTCAGGGATTTGTTGGTTTCCTGCTTAGACTGCTCAGGGGTCGGTTGGTTTCTTCTTTAGGTTGGTCAGCTGGAGGATTGGCTCTGATGTCAGGGCCAAAGTGGGTTTTTTGGCTGGCCCTTTTACCCTACACCTTTTATCCCAGCACTTGGGAGGCAGAGGAAGGCAGATCTCTGTGAGTTCAAAGCCAGCCTGGTCTGCAAAGTAAGTTCCAAAACAACCAGGGCAACACAGTGAAATACTGTCTCGAAAACCAAAGGGAAAAAACAAATGGACATAATGGAACTATTGTAAAAAGTCATAATGTACAAGAAAATTATTTTATATGCCTCACAGTTGGATAATACCTAATATATTTTAAATGAGAATCGATTTTATTATAGTTTCCTCATAATTACATTCTAAACATTTTGAAGTTGTTATTTTTACCGCTTTCAGTGATGCATCCAAGAAAATTGTTTAGTTGTACTTTAAATTTGGAAGATGGTATTTACCTTTATATGAATTAATTT